AACCAATGCCATTTAATTGTACAAAATGAGTTTTACTTGTTTTTCTCAGATTCAAAGATAGGGGACTTACTTATTTTACATGTAATTCAATAATTAGGTTCCTGCTAATTGGTTATTTGTTCTGTTTATTGATAAACGCGCAAATAATTGGTTTATCGTGAGCCTATTACTCTGATGTAAGATTTTGTAGTTATTGATTGATTGATTATTGTCTGGTGTAGGTAGCTGAGCAGTCTGGCCAGCCCTTGAATGAAATGCCAATCTTGACGGTCAGCTTGATTTATCAGAAAACTCAGGACCTTGACAGCGAGGTGAATTTTTATTCACTTTTATTTACTTTATTTTCTGTATACTGTATATTTACTGTATATGATGGGAAATACTTTGCTATATTTAGTTTATCTTTTTTTTAAGGATTAATGAGAAAAAGCGCAGTTAATCTATCTCTGCCCATATTTTATAGTGTAATTTAAGTATGTCGCATGATTTGGGCTAATTATGTTTAGTATTCGATTGAAACGCAGTTTTAATGAATAATCTCATTATATCTAAGTTTCAAACATTAAATCATTTATGACGTACAACTTGATGCAAGTTTACAGAATATCATGTTTACACGCTTTTTGCTACATACCAGGGGTTCAATTATTATTTTGAATTACTTGAAATTAAATGTTCATGTTTCAAATTTTTCTATTTACACTAATATCGGCATTAAATATAAATACATTATATTTTGGACCAATTTTTCTTCTGATTCCTCAGCAGTTTTTTTTCTCTTTAGATAAAGTTCTTGGTTTCCAAAGCTAAGATGGTAAAGGCGGAGAAGGAAAGGGCGAGGCGGTTAAAGGAAGCGGAGGAGAAGAAAGCAGCGGCAGATGAGGCAAAGAAGGCGAAGAAGAAAAAGAAGGCGGAGGAAGGTTCAGGGGAGACGGCGGAAGAGGAAGCTGCAGAGGAGGAGGAGGCGGAGAGTGTTGATGAACCTGCAGGTATTGGATGGAAATCATTTTTATTAATCAAACATTTGCACATTTTTTCTTTCACACTTTCTTTTCTTTTTCTTAAGCACCCCCTGGAATATATATTTTCAATAATTCCTCAGAACAGGAATTATGATTTTGGAGGGAATTGAAAAATTTAACATTAGCTGGCAAGTTGTTCCACCATTTTGATACTTTCACCAAGAATTTCCAATTATCCCCTAAAATTCACATACTTAAATATTCAAGTCGTAAATAATTTTATTGAGGATGAGGGATTTTGATTTTACAACAATATCCCCCCCCCCCTCTCCTCTCCCTCCTTCTGTAATGGTTTCCTGGTGTAGAGGTCCTAGTTGAACTAGTCCCGGACCTAGTGTGGTATATAGAGAGGAGGGGAAGGAATCAGGATCTACAACCAGAAAACCTTCGTCCCCCGCCCCCACCCTTCAATCCACCCCCTGAGCCCTCGCTAAAAGAAACCCTTCTTATCGTCACATTTATTCACATTCTTTTTGAGTTTATCAGATGATACCTAGATAAGAAGGTAATCGAATTTTAGCTTGGATTGTATAACATTTTTAATTTTAAGCATTTTTCAATGTTACCTTTTTACTCACCGAGTTCAATACGTTTTTTTTGTGAAATAGAACTTGATCTCAATATCCACTGTGGCAACTTTTAGATCGATAGATAAGTGCTAGATTCCTCAATTTTAGTCTGGGTTCAAGACCATTTAATCCTTCAGGATGAACACCACAGAACGACATTTTTTTTCAACCTTCTCATCTTGCCACTTGAAAGTTTAAAAACTTTTCCCAATCACATATTATTATGTATGTTTTTAAAAGCGGTTTTTTTAACGTTTTTAAAAAATTGTATTTTACGAATAATGAAAAGTTTAATCAAGGTTTTCTATGTTTAGGAGAAGGATCAGGAGAAAATCCATCTGTTGAGAACCCAGAATCCACGGCTGAAACCAAGGAGGATTTTTCTACTAAAAGTGATACAAAATCCGCTGAGGATACAGACCAAACTGATCCTACAGAGTCTTCCGAGGATCCTTCAGAGTCCGCGAAGAAGGATCCTGAGGATTCTGAACCAAGTGAAGGATCTGCGGATCAACACACAGAGCTGTGATATACTAATAACTAGTTAATAAATTCAGGGTTTAAGAAAACCTCCTCCTTCCGAAAATCCGCGATCAGAAACCCGTGAAAATCCACGAAACCAAAAATCAATAAAATCTTTGCATTGAAACTGAAGTCAATTCCGGACTCAGCGGTGTATGCATCAAGCAGTACATTAATTTTATAATTTTAATTTCAAAACACTGAACAATTTATTTTACAGAATATTCGCTCTGCTCAGTTGGCAGTAAACATGGATCTCAATTCCAACCCTTTTCTTTATTTCAACTTTTTAATGTTTGCATTCATTTAAATTTTAAAGAATTGTCTTTTTCTCGTCCTATTTCTTGTGAAACTGTGTTATTAGTAAATAATGTTGAATAAGCACAATGAAATAAATGTTCACCTAAATCCTTCCCAGTCCTTATTAGAAATTAATAATAAATATCCCAACAAACTTATTTTATTTCGAGATTTTTGTGTGTGAAATTTGTGTTTTGTTCAGTCAGAGCCTACAAAGAAAAGATTTATAGTTGAATCCCAGTGTCTCTGAACCAATGCCATTTAATTGTATTTAATAAGATTTTATATCTACTTTGCGTTTCTGTTCGTTAGTAACCGATCGGGCTTAAATTTGTGTGGGAACTTACCTGACCCCAGGATAGGTTTTTTTTTTATCGCATTGAAGGATTATTGTACGGGTTACCATGAAAATTTGATTTTTGTAAATGTTAAAAATCTACGAAATTTTAGATTTTTTTGTTTTATGAAAGAGAAAATGGTGTTAGAAATACGGTGAAATAGAAGATGAGAAGACGCCTAGTAATACAACATCTTCTTTACAATGTAAGCTTTTTAAATTTATAGATTTAGCTCTGGGGTGTAGGGATGTGAAGAAAATATTTGGAGATAATTGGTCTAGGCTTTTGTCAATTAGTATTTTCCCAAATCTGCGTAATTTGTGTTGTGAGAAATGATAAAAGAATATGACTGTCTAACAACACGTATATAAACTGCAGGGGTCCATCTTATCAATCCCAAATGTTGATTGATTGCCTTTGGGTTTCCTCAATAAATTCCAGCCTGATTGTTACCCCTTGGGATTCCTCAAAGAATTCCAGCCTAATTGTTACCCCTTGGGTTTCCTCAATAAATTCCAGCCTGATTGTTGCCCCTTGGGTTTCCGCAATAAATTCCAGCCTAATTGTTACCCCTTGGGTTTCCTCAATAAATTCCAGCCTGATTGTTGCCCCTTGGGTTTCCTTAATAAAATTCTAGCCTGATTGTTACCCCTTAGGTTTCCTCAATAAATTCCAGCCTGATTGTTACCCCATGGGTTTCCGCAATAAATTCCAGCCTAATTGTTAACCCTTGGGGTTCCGCAATTAATTCCAGCCTAATTTTTACCCCTTGGGTTTTCGCAATAAATTCCAGCCTAATTGTTACCCCTTGGGTTTCCGCAATAAATTCCAGCCTAATTGTTAACCCTTGGGTTTCCGCAGTACATTCCAGCCTAATTGTTGCCCCTTGGGGTTCCGCAATACATTCCAGCCCAATTGTTACCCCTTGGGTTTCCTCAATACATTCCAGCCTAATTGTTACCCCTGGGGTTTCCTCAATACATTCCAGCCTAATTGTTACCCCTCGGGTTTCCTCAATAAATTCCAGCCTGATTGTTGCCCCTTGGGTCTCCTCAATAAATTCCAGCCTAATTTTTGCCCCTTGGGTTTCCTCAATAAACTCCAGCCTGATTGTTGCCCCTTTGGTTTCCTCAATAAGTTCTAGTCTGATTGTTACCCCTTGGGTTTCCTCAATAAATTCCAACTAAAGATAACATTTATAGAAAAAAAGAAAACTTAATTATCTTTTTAGTTTAAAAAGACTTGCTTTTGACAGAGGTAAATTTTTTCTAATAAACCTTAATTGATTAGTCTCAACTAACAGACTCACATAAAATAAAAGGATTTTTAAAAAGTTACAATGTGCAGGAATAAAACAATTTTTCATATAAGTTGGTTAGGATGCTTATAATTTGGATAAAACAGAATTTAACTAAATTTTTGTTAAAAATGAAGACACTTCGAGCAATGCCTTTACTCAGTATTTCTTCTGGAATTTTTGGCAGCTCTGTGGCGGCGTAGTGGCGGAAGACGAGGCTTTTGAGGAGTTTTGAACCGAGTATCAAGACGCGGCAAGATGAGCAGCTTCCGGCGACGTCACCTATCTATATATTATTTACGTTTTGATAAATTTAAGTTTTTAAAAATTTAGTAATAAAGTAGTTATTTAAACCAGGCGTTTGTCAAACTGAGCGTAGCTAAATTGGTGACCCCTAGTTCGAAACTATAGGCAAATAGACTGTTTTTTCCATGCCATTATAGACTTTTTTATAGCTACACGCTCATCAAGTGAATTGAAATGCCTAAGGACAGTGATAACGTCCAAGCTCTAGCTGAACCCAGCTCGCTGGATTTATTCAACTCTGTATCGGTGAAAGTTCCAGCCTTTTGGCCAGATTCTGCGGAGGCCTGGTTCGTGCAGGTGGAGGCTCAGTTCGCCCTCAAGGGAGTAACCGCCAGTTCCACCAAGTTCTATTACTGTGTATCATCGTTCAACCAGGAGACGGCTAATCAAGTTTTGGATCTCATCAAGAATCCTCCATCTTCAGACCCCTATGAAGCCTTGAAGAACCGTTTATTGAGATTGTTTGCTCTCGACGACTATCAAAGGTATGAAGCAATCTCTAACCTACCTCTCTCTGGCGACATGAAACCTTCAAAACTTATGTCGAATATGCTCGCCCTGCTTCCTCTTGGTCACAAGCCCTGTTTTTTTCTCCATGGAGCTTTTCTGAAGAGGTTGCCCGCCGACGTCTGAGCTCACCTGCTGAGGGACGATTTTTCCGATCCTATAGCCTTAGCCTTGAAAGCAGACGAGATTTATCAGAGCAGAGTTTCCTCCTCAACTGTCTACATGGTTTCCAGCACCCCGGAGGATGTTGTCAACGCCGTGAGATCCTCACCTACAAACCGCCCACGTCGTTCAGCAACTCCTCACTCAGGCAACCGGGATAACAGATCATCGTCTCCGTCTCTGTGTTACTATCATCGTACCTGGGGAACTAAGGCTAAGAAATGTAGAGCTCCATGTTCCTGGTCGGGAAACTAGTTTACCGGCAGGAGGATGTTCGTACCCTTCCTGCCGGGCCTTCTACCTCGTCTCCTCTTATCTATCTGCAGGATTCTCTGAGCTCAAGGAGATTCCTCATCGATTCTGGCGCCTCTGTATCAGTTTTTCCTGATCCAGGATCCTCAGGAGGAGATTCAGGATTGAGACTGTTAACTGCGGATGGTTCCTCTCTATCATGTTCCGGTTCTCGGGTCATTCCTCTACGTTTCGGGAGTCACAGGTTCGAGTGGCCTTTTCAACTAGCTCCTGTAGCCATTCCAATCCTGGGTGCAGATTTTCTGAAACACTACAACCTCCTGCTCGATGTATCCAACCAGAGGGTTTTCAGTGCCGATTCTCCGACTTCTCCGTCCATCGTCTTGCCAACCTCTCCAGATTCCAAGCCTGCCCCACTCACAGCCAACCTTCTCGCCACTCCTCAGTGTATCACCGACCTCCTCGCAGAGTTTCCAGATGTGGTCTCGTCCGATGGTTTCACGGCCTCTAAACCTCGTCACGGAGTTACCCACCATCTACTCACGCAACCTGGACCTCCAGTATTCGTGAAGGCTCGGCGTCTGGACCTGGAGAAGTTGGCGTCCGCCAAACGAGAGTTCTCTGCCATGGAGAAAGCTGGGATCGTTCGTCGCTCTAATTCTCCTTGGTCTTCGCCTCTCCATATGGTCAGAAAGAAGGACGGAGGCTGGCGCCCTTGTGGTGATTACAGACGACTGAACACGGTTACAGTTCCTGATCGGTACCCTTTACCTAATATTGCTGATTTCACCTCTAGAGTCACAGGTTCAACCATCTTTTCTAAGTTGGATCTTCAGAAGGGGTATTACCAGGTTCCTATGGCTGAAGAAGATATCTGTAAGACAGCGATCATCACTCCATTTGGGATGTTCGAGTTTCTGCGTCTTCCTTTTGGCCTCAGGAACGCGGGGAACACCTTCCAGAGGATGATGGACTCTATCCTTGGAGACCTTCCTTATTGCTTCACCTACATCGACGATATCCTGGTTTTTAGCAGCAGTTTAGAAGAGCACGTAGATCATCTTCGTCAGGTTCTCCTCCTCTGTCGTCAGCATGGTTTAACGATTGGTTTGCCCAAGTGTGAATTCGCCGTGCCTGAGTTAGAGTTCCTGGGTCATAAACTTTCTGCTCATGGATGTTCTCCCCTGGTCAAGCATACTGCAGCGATCTCAGATTTTCCTGTTCCTGCTGACAAACCTGCTCTACAGAGGTTCCTGGGGATGGTGAACTTTTACAGGAAATTTCTCCGGGGGGCGGCCAGAGTTCTTGCCCCACTTACAGATGCTCTGAAAGGTTCTGGCAAATCTCTCACCTGGACTCCTATCCTCGATGCTGCCTTCCGTCATGCCAAGGATCTCCTTATCAAGGTTCCAGAGCTCTCTCATCCTAGACCATCAGCTCCGATTTCCCTAGCAGTTGACGCTTCTGACTCTCATGTGGGGGCCGTGTTGCAGCAGAGGATTGACGATGCCTGGGTTTCGTTGTCCTTTTTCTCAAGGAAACTTTCGGAGACTGAGAAGAAGTACTCCGCTTTTGACAGAGAACTCCTAGCTGCTTATCTGTCCATCAGGCACTTCCGTTTCATGCTAGAAGGTAGAGAATTTTTGTTATTCACTGATCACAAACCTCTAACCTCAGCTTTGTTCAGGAGTTCTCCGCCCTGGTCTGCTCGTCAACAGAGGCACCTGTCTTATATTGCGGAGTTCACGAGTTCCATTGTGCATCTGCCAGGCCTGGAGAATGTTGTAGCTGATGCCCTCTCTCGCCCCAGCCTTTCTCCTCCTGATGATCCCTCTCCAGTTGTACCACCTGGTTCTCCATCTCCAACTCCTCCACGCCTGCTCCAACCTCCACGTCATGCTCCAGATCCTCCTTTCCGAGATCCACATTTGCTCCAAACATCCAAATCATCTCCATTCCGTGCTCCAAATCCTCCTGCCCGAGGTCCGGTGTCGGCGGTGTCGGCGGTGTCGGCGGTGTCGGCGGTGTCAGATTCTCCACCATCTTCAATTTCCATCAATCATTCAACTCCTATCAATCAATCAAACTCTCCAACTCCTATCAATCAATCAAACTCTCCAGAATTTTTAATTCCAGGTTTCGATTTTTCTCAAATACTGTTACTCCAGGAAACCTGCCCTTCGATTCAAGTTATGAAGAGGTTACCCTCGCTCTCTATAGTGAAAGTGACTCTGGATTCCGGAGATTTAATTTGTGATGATTCCACAGGCTCCCTCAGACCTCTAGTTCCAGAAGTTCTCCGTAAACCTCTCTTCCTAGCTCTGCACAATGTGTCTCATCCTGGTGTCAGAGGGTCTCGGAGATTAATTTCTGCACGGTTCGTTTGGCCTGGATTATCTCGAGATGTCGGAGCATGGGCCAGAGCTTGCCTCCAGTGCCAACGGAGTAAGCTATCCCAGTTCCTTCCAGACGTTTTTCTCATGTTCACATTGATATTGTTGGACCTCTACCCTCTAGTCAAGGTTATTCATATCTTCTAACAATGATTGACCAAACCACTCGTTGGCCTGAGGCGGTGCCTTTATCCTCAATCTCTACTGAGTCCTGCGTGAGAGCGTTCATCTCAACCTGGGTTTCTAGATTTGGAGTTCCTTCAACGTTAACTTCCGACAGAGGTGCTCAGTTCACATCTTCCGTCTGTCTGGAGTCTGCTGATCCCTGGGTATTTCTCCTTCTCAGACAACAAGCTTCCATCCACAGTCAAACGGAATGATTGAACGGTTCCACAGATCTCTCAAATCATCTCTCCGAGCCAGATCTTCAGACTCCGACTGGGTTTCTCATTTACCTCTGGTTCTCTTGGGTCTTCGTTCAGTTCCCAAAGAAGACACCGGGTTCTCCGTCTCAGAAGCAGTATATGGTTCTCCTCTGACAATCCCTGGAGAATTTTTAGATGCTCCTGAATTGCCAAGTTCTCAATTCCTCAGCAAAATGGAGAGAGTCATCACTGGTTTCTCAGTTCCTTCGCCTCACCATGTGCAACATTCGTATCCAGCTGAGGTTCCGGCAACTCTCAGAACCGCCAAGTTTGTGTTCGTTAGAGAAGATGCAAGCAAACCTTCACTCAGCCCTCTATATCGTGGTCCTTACCTGGTTGTAGAACGGCGGAGTAAGTTCTTCCGCCTCCAGATTGGTGCCAAGGTAGATTCAGTTTCTGTGGACCGTCTCAAGCCAGTATTCTCAGATTCTCCGGTGATCCCTGCAGCCCCTCCAACTCAAGGACGTCCTCCTCTTCGTCAATCAAAGGATCCTCCTGTTCAATCATCCGCCGCGAAACCATCTGCCTCCGAGAAGAAGTCTGTTGTGTTCCTAGCCCAACCTGTAATCATTCCAAGAAGGAACCCTCACAGACAAGTCAGGAAAGAAGCCCTTGCTCCGCCGTGACTCCGCCTTGCCTTCTTGGGGGGAGTACTGTGGCAAGATGATCACAAGTTCCGGCCACGTCACCCACCTTATATATATGATTTACATTTTTGATAAACTAAGTTTAAATACCAGTAATAAAGTAATTATTTAAACCAGGCGTTTTCATCCTGAGCGTAGCTAAATTACAATGGTTAAAGATAAAAGTTGTTCTTGGAAAAAATATTTCGCGTAAAATAAACTAGAAACTGTTTGTTAAATTGAGCCAAACATTAAAAATATTCTTATTAATAAGGCTGCTACGGAGATACTTTGCGTCTATGCTGGGCAGTTTGCCAGAATTCCGGACTGCAACAAAGATGATCGCTCATCATCTTGGCCACTCGATGGTCATGCATGAGTAAGGATAAACTTTATGTATTACAAAAATGTTTAATTTACTGGAGATTAAAAAGTTTCAAAAAGTAACAGAAAAAAATCTTTTAAACTTATCAATATTTTTATGAATTTTGAGCTTCAGGTTTTAATCATCCGACTAGTATTGTAAGGGCGGTTTTGAAAAAATAAATTTCATTTAAATTCTAAACTGTGGACTCTTTACTAACATGACATTTTCACAATTTTGATTTCAATATTCTAAAACTATAATGTTAATTTCTTAAGAATTGTCTCAATTCTGAACCGTATCATATTTTCAGAAAATTTTAAGCTCAGTCAGGAACAAGGCATTGTGTCCTCGGCCCTGGAGATGGTGGCAAGAGGTGGGGGAAACATGGATGCCCCCATCCCTGAGGACGTTGTCTTCATCCTCAATGAGAACTACACTATGCATGGTAAATTAACTTGTTGGTTATTGATTTCCGGGATGTTTATCTAGAATATTGAAAATGAAACACAAATACTATGCCATACTTATTGTTAGATAAAAGCATGCCTAACCTAAAGCTGTTTTAGTTGAGTTAAAATTCTGATGTGATTTATGAACAATTTACGATTCTGAATGTCAGCAACAACTATGTCTCAAAATATGAAATATTTCCTGATTTAGATGAAGAGTATGATGAGGATGCTGAGAACGAGAACTCTGCTTGTGAGACTGATACTGGAAATCCAGAAAGGTAAATTTGAACATTTTAAATAACTTTGACAAGATTTAAATTCATGATAATTATTAAAATTTAGTAAAATGTTAACAGGCATAATATCTAACTTGCGAACTGACAGTTATCATGGTAAAGAGTTATCAATTCTTTACCAGGAGTACCTGTCAGTTCACAAGTTAGACATTATGTATGCAAAAATTTAGAGATTCGTCGGCAGAGGATGAAGATGCAGCAGCAGGCCCTAGCAATCCTCCTCCTCCTCTAAGACTAGTAGTAGGTAAGCTATTTAGTATTAAAAAGATACTTCGTTATATATAAAGTCATAGATGTTTCATGAAAATTTTCTGTAGATTTCCAGGAAATTTATTGCAAAGACGACATTTAAAAATTTAAAGAAATCTGCGAATAAATTCATCAAAGTTCTGAAATTAAAAATTATGTATGCAAACATTTACAGATGTCAACAGAGGATGAAGATTCAGAAGCGGGTCCTAGCAATCTTCCTTCTCCCCCAAGACTAGTAGAAGGTAAGCTATTTAGTATTAAAATGTTGATAGATCAAGTAGTCTTAATATCAGGTTGAAATGATTTGATTTGGTTCAGTTCATTTCATTTGATATCAGATCTGATATTTTATACTACGTTATATATATGCAAAAATCATTTTTAATCTGACATTAATTATATTATCTTTCTAGGTAGAAGAAGAAGAAAACTCACTGAAGCCAACAAGGCTGTCGTTGATGGTAAGCATTAAGGAACTGAAGACAGACTAAAGACAGACTGAAGACTAATTTACCCGTAAAACCTTTGTTTGATTTAGGATGATTGTTATACATATACAGTGGTAAGTAATTATATCAATACAAAGAAGACACATTTTTTATTTTAGTTTTGATTGTTAACACGCTTTTTTCAAATTACAAGTTTAGAAGTAATCAAAGGGATCTTTTTTAACTTACATCTTCTCTTGACATCTATATTTTTATGTATCCATGAAAAAATTGAAATCAAAATTCATCTTCATTTTTTGATATTATCGTCTACCTTTATAATTCAGAATAAATGTGCTAAAAAGTTAAAATGTAAATAATGTAAAGGTGAGAATGAGAACTCTGCTAATGAGTCTCATTATTACTCTGCTAATGAGACCGAAATAGCAGCAGCTGGTCCTAACGATCCTCCTCTTCCTCCAAGACTAGTAGAAGGTAAGCTATTTATAATTAAAATGCTGTTAGATCAATTATTCTTAATCAACTAAATCATTGCAACCTGATATTAAGTTCATTTCATTTGATATTGGATCAGATATTTTATACTTTGTTAGTTAAGAAAGAGAGCTTTGCGAACAAATACATAAAAGTTCTGAAATTAAAAATAATCTGACATTAATTGAATTATCTTTCTAGGTGCAAGAAAACTCACTGAAGCCAACAAGGCTGTCATTGATGGTAAGCTTATATTAAGGAACTGAAGACAGACTAAAGACAGACTGAAGACTAATTTACCCGTAAAACCTTTGTTTGATTTAGGATGATTGTTAGACATATACAGTGGTAAGTGATTATATCAATACAAAGAAGACAAATTTTTTATTTTAGTTTTGATTGTTTACACGCTTTTTTCAAATTACAAGTTTAGAAGTAATCAAAGGGATCTTTTTTAACTTATATCTTCTCTTGACTTCTATATTTTTATGTATCCATGAAAAAATTGAAATCAAAATTCATCTTCATTTTTTGATACTATCGTCTACCACTATAATTCAGAATAAATGTGCTAAAAAGTTTCATATGAAAATTAATATTTATTTTCTTTTAATGAAGGGGCAATTTTATCTACAGTACAGTCACTTTAATTGTAGTTTTGCTGATTTTAATGGGAGTGTTCGTGAAAAATAAAAAAAGTTATTGATAGCTATTAATTTACTTTTTTTTGTTTTAAATAGCAAAAAAACTTTTGTGACTATTTCTTAAAAGTAAAAAATATCAAGGTGATAGTGACAAAAATTATAATGCCGTGTCCCTTTTTCCTAGGGTTTCCAGGAAACAAAAACCTTTGCAAAAAATTAATCTTAACAGATTAAAGCAAAATTTTGCGAAAAAAAAAACTAAAAAATTTACATTGTTCTCGAGCAAACAAAATGCAAAAAATTTTTGCAAAACAATTTACCTTTTTTGCTTGAAAATCGTACTTTTGCCTACCTATTCATTTTAAGTGTAATGGGTTGGCATTTTTAAATTAAAAATGAAATATTTTTACTTAAATTTGTTTTAGTATTCTGGACAAAGTTTTTCCAAAAACATCCGGAAAGAGACCATAAAACCACCAAGGAGGAAATTCTCGACTTTCTGGAGAAGTCTAAAATTGGAATAACTAACTACAAACTTATCAAAGACCGAATCCGGTTCAACTTTGATAAATATAAAAGTTCCGCCTTATCCCTTGAATGATATACCCATGAATCCCTGAATTTTATTATTTACTGTGACAAGCTTTTTTTTATAACAATGCAGATGACTTTATAATTTAAGTTTTTATTGTAAACATGCTTTTATCGATTTACAAATTTTTAATTGATTTTGACAAAAATTTAATAAATATCCTATTTCTATGTTTTCTGTTTCTCTGAATATACCCCCCAGGGGCAGATACAGGATTTAAGTGAGGGGGGGGGGGGCAAGATTTTTTAGAAACAAAAAAATTCATAATTAGGAACAAAAAATCGCGACGCAGGCGAAAATTTATTTTGACTTAAAAGAGTCTACAAGAGTCAAGATTAATGGCTAAAGACTAAAAAACTAGACTTTTAACTTTTCATACATTACAGTTTATAAAGACTGATATTTTTCCTGTTTTGCACTAGGGTTTCTTTCCCTAAAGCATGCTAGAGAAGCTATTCTGAAAATAGGAACAAAAAATTCCAAATTCAGGTGGGGGGAGAATGTCCCCCCGCCTCCCCCTGTATCCGCCCCTGTATACCCCTTTATAATTATTTCAATATCTATTTGATTTGATTTGATTTGATATGAATTCAGTATTAGTTGGTTTTATCTTTTAGACCATTATCTGGGATTTCCAAAATGATATAAAACATTTTTCTTATTCAAAAACTTTGGATTTTATAAAAGTTTTAGAAAAAAAAAAACAATAAAGTTCAAAAATGGCCAAAAAATCACGTTTTTTCCGGCGGCACCGGAAAAAATGGTCAAAAATAAATAACATTTTGGATTTTTCTTAGTTTCATATATATCTATTCAAAAGAAAAAGTGCACATCTGAACAATTTTTACAGATCCGTAGAAGTGAATCAACTCCATAGTCTGGAGCTACTTTCTAAAATTGAGAAGAGCAACAAACTCTGTCACCGGGGGCTCCTTGAGAAGATAGAGAGTGAAAAATTAAGGTAAAACCCCGTGGCACTGTAACATTTAATCCTTTGATATCATTACAATCCCAGACATAAATCCTAGGGAAATCAAGATCAATCCTTGCTCCTCATCTTTGAGGATTAATACAAGACTTCACTTTCATTCCCAGTACCAATTCATAATTTACCCAAACCTCTCATCTTGTCATCTGTCTCTTCCATTATATCCATCTGATCTGTCATAAACCTGAGTATCACACTCATTAATGGTTTATTGATGTATTCTTCTGTATTCTGTATTCCTAAAGATATGATCGTGTAGATACAATCATATAAGTCCACATGCTGTACACCTTCTGAGATCTGTCCATGAAGTGCCTGTCCCCTAGCCTTTGGTTGAACAAACAGAGCTTGGGCTCATACGTCTGTTCGGTTCACAGGTCTAGGGTGAATCTTAATGAATCAGTTGAGGTTAACTACTCCACATTCATTAAAAGAAACAAAGAGATAAAGGTGTGAGGGTGGGGAAGGGTTTTAGCATGAGTCACC